AATCTCCGTTGTTGGAATAATATAAAAGATATTAGTCTTACGAAACTAGGACGACACATTTTAACCATATATCCATCATTTGTCGATGATTGACACTTGGCTATTCGTTTCCAAACCTCCCCCTTGGGTATTTATATTGTGACCTCGTGAAATATAATGAATATTTCATTATCTTTGCAACACCTCACTTTTATATATATTAATAGGATCATTTTAACGTCTGAATCACTAACGCCAGGTTTCCGTCCTAGGAAAAGACAGGGAATTTTTTTTTTTCCTTTAACATTGGAATCCGTTGATCAAATATTTCAACCCTTCAGATAACTGTTGAGTGATCCAATATCAACCCTGCTTTCAACTTAATCTATTATCATCTAAAATAATTTCATACTATACAATCTTATAATATTATATTAAAAATAAAACAACGCTCTAGGTTGACGGCATATACATGCACCTGGCAATGCTCACCTCCTTCTTCTAAAGGATACAAAATAATATTTCCATAAAGCAAGTAAAGTTACTTGCCCATATATTTTTCTATACAATTTACAGAATTATAACAGGTATCTCTGCTCTTCAACCAGTCCACATTCTTCTTAAATAACCTTCTTGTCCTTCTAGCTACTAGCCTTCACTGTTCATCATAAATTGGGGGGTGAGATTCTGAAGAATCCCCGTAGTAGTAATTTCCATCAAACAAATGTGCAGATCACATAAAGCATGCAAAACAAGCCAAAGTGGAACATAACCTTGCAAGCTAATGCAATTAAGCATTTATGCGCAATGACAGATAGAAAAGCTAAATAAATAATGCTCACATACCTGGCAATCACTGCCCCATGTCTATTAGACAAGCTGAATAAATAATGTGCTAATAATTGGCAATCACTGCCGCGCATATAATTGGCAATCACTGCCGCGCAAATAATTGGCAATCACTGCCGCGCATATAATTGGCAATCACTGCCGCGCATTTAATTGGCAATCACTGCCGCGCATTTAATTGGCAATCACTGCCGCGCATATAATTGGCAATCACTGCCGCGCAAATAATTGGCAATCACTGCCCCATGTTTATCAGCTGCACGTGGTCACGGCTAAAAATCCATGCAAGGAATTAAGGATTACATGTTCTCATGCTTTAGAAAAGTAATATGGCACAAACAGACATGCAGCAATCATACACAAGTGTAAGGTAGGAAAGAACTACTACCTGGACGGACTCCCTCCAAATCAAACCTTACCGTTCTCCTTTCTTTCTGCTTCTTGGTGGGCTTGAGCAGATATCAAAACCTATTATTTTAGTAAGGGTAGGTTAATGCTTGATCCAACATAATTTATACATTAAATAACTCTCTTTAAATCCCAATCTCTTTCAATCTCTACCCTCACTTAATAGTTGGTCATCCTGGACAATTTTTCTTATTTGAACTATTATCTTTGGAACGCTTCCTTCCTTATCTCAACCCATAGTATTACCTTACTTAGTAACTAGCATCTCAATCAAACTATGCCACGTCCCTAAAACATACCAGCACCACTTCATTTGAAGTTTCTAAACTCAATTTAATAACCTACAATACTTGTTCAACAACTGGAGATACTAAACAGTAACTATATATATTGAGTTTTCATTACAGCACATCCCTATACACATGTATGTTTATATCTCCAATGATTCACATAACCTTGCACTTAATCTGGAAATATTTTCCAAATTTACGAACATACTTGAACATTCATAATTCAACCCACTAATATCTCTCTACATTTGAAAACTCAACTATATGTCCTCTATCTTTGACTTCTAATTTTAATCATTTGAATTCAAATCGAGCAAGTTCAAATTCTTTCAACAATGAAATAGCACCCTTGAATGTTTTCAACGTGCTTATAATTTATAATAACAACATTCCTTTCTTACTGATATGAAATTCCAGCTTCATAAGCATCATTCTATCCACCATTTGAAAGTCCCCAGTTTAAAATTACAGTTCCTCTTGAAACCCACTTGCCCGAAAATACTTTCCATATATCTATATATATAATTAAATAATTGCCTTGTGATTTAGTTTCAGCTCCCGCATCCTAACATTAACATCACGCCACATTCGGCAAGTCTGACATTTTCCAGATTGAAATATACTCCCAAAATAATCACCAAGTCACCAAAAGAAGTCAACGTTGTGCAGTCCCATATATATATATATATGTGGCATAATCTCTCTTCAATTTCATTAAAACCGACGCTAAAATAAAAACAGAACATAGAGTTAAATTTTAGATCACAGACCCAATTTTTTAGACAGTCATAAACCAGAAAAATCATTCACATGGAGTCCGAACCAACCTCTAAGATCTTCACCCGAATATCATCATCAAGATTCTAATCCACCTAGAAGTTTGACAGCACCGAGAAGGAATCAAAGGTCTGACTTCAAATCTTATAAACCAGAGTCAGTCAACCAGGAAACAAAGAAGTAATCAACATGCAACTTCGTATTCATGTATTACACGTTTCCTCTCTCCTAATACCTCAAACCCGATGCCTTTTAACCCAGAAATGCCATGCTCTGTTCGGAAATCATGAAACAGCGGTAATAGTAACGTGTAGGCTGGAAGATTAACGCTAAACACTTCCATCTTCTCACAAAACGCGATTCCATCACCTATCCTCCACTTTCCCTCACTTCCTCTCACTAACCCGAACTCAAACCCATCATCAACTTCATATTCAGCCTCCCAAAGCAGAAAATAACGATGGAAGTGTGCTTAAGAGACTCACCTTGATCAATTAATCGGTTTGCATGCAATAGAATCACCTCCGATCACCTTCTCGCTGGTAGCTTCTTCTGCGTTCTCTCTCTCGTTCTCTCCCTCTACGTTGCAGAACATAATGAGATGAAAAAGGAGGGTAGGATCGGTCTGGAGGTTAAAGAGACAGAACACGTGGATGACCAGCTGATAATTGAGGGAGTGAATCAGGTGGCAAACAAAGAAGGCAGCACGTGTACTACATGGTTGCTGAGTCATTTTGCCCTCCTAAATAATTATTCCTCCAATCTTATTCCTTCTCCTATTTTTCTGAAATATAAGATATATCTAGAAATTAAATCAAAATATCATAAATGGATTTTTCTTATCCATTAGCTTCTTTGACCCATAAAATAATTTTCCTAAGAAAATAACCCATTTTTCTATGAAAATAGCTTTAAAATCATCTAAGCCAGTTTTTGGGGAATGAACTTTTCCAAAATATTTCTAAACCTTGAAAAATCAATATTCCATAATTTTCCCCAATTGTGATTGAGCTATTAAATAATTTTAATGAACTTTCTCTTTTCTACTCATCCTGAGTCAGAAAATTCGGGATGTTACAATCTTCTTGATTAGTTTTTAAATTGCCACTCTTTCGTCTAGGTAGTCTAGCTACTAAATATTCAAAGCTAAGGTATGAGATTCCATTATTTTTTATGTTATGATGATTTGAATTTTGAACATTTATTTACGCTAGCTCCGTACGTACGTAGCTGAACTTTTGATTTGATTTTTTTTTTAATTGATAGGTTTGGAGAAGTTAATGTTGATGTTTCTGTTGAGATATATAGAAAATCTTACGGTGACCATGTTGTCTAAATTTCGTTGGCAAAGAGCATATCATATTTGCTTCATACAGAAAAATAAAAAATTGAATCCCTAACCGTTTGCTTTATGAACCCAAACTCTTACTACTCATCATTTAATTGTCAGAGTTTTCCTTGATGTTAGGCTTATATATAAGACTTAAAATTCAGTAGTTACTGAATAGATAAGATTATCTTATTAGAAGCCATAGCGGACATGATTATTCATAGGCTTAAAAGGATTAGTAATATTAATCAATGAATTAATGCCATATATATTCGTGAAATAATCGAATGCTTAAAAGGATTAAATTGCAATTTTTCGGGTCTTATTTTGAGAATTTGTTATGTTAAAGGACCTAAGAAGCATTTGTTAACATTTAATCTACAGCGGGTTGACTGTGCTGACTTGAGAATGGAAATATGGCTTTTTTATTTTCTTCTGATTATGGTTGATATAATTTTTAATCTGTAAATTTAGACCTATTTAAGGTTTAGTTCATCAAATTTTAAATCTATGATTTTAATCTGTTTTAAAACGTTAGTTGTCATAGGTGTAATGGTGTTAAAATCTACTAATGTTATAAATAGTATTAAAGTGATGACGTGGACTCACAAGATGGCAAATAATTAGATCTTACGTAGATAACAAAAAGAAAAAAAGAACCGATCCTCAAACCACAATTTTTGGGCCCCCATTTTTCTTCCTCGCTGTTTGTTTCAGGAGCTATTCACTATGTTACATTCCGTAGTCCATACAAAATCCAATTAAGTGCCATCTAGTAAGCACAGATTACCACTTTTAACATCATGGATGAGTTGCATTTTCAGTGACTAACATTTTAAGACAAACTAAATTTAATAAAACCATGAGTTTAAAATTTAAGTAACCAAAATAAAACAAAACGCCTGTTATATAAAAGAATATCAAAAATATCGACTTTTGGGGATTTCTCTGACGGTCAACCTAATCCAAACTTGAGCGCGTTTGGTTTGGGACCAATGGCCAATTCCTTTAAAAGAAAACCACTAGCGGTTTTTTCATTTACCGAAAAACCAGAAACCGTTTTTTTTTTTTTAACCCACATGAAGCTTTGCAAATATAAGAATTCAAAGGGCATCGCTCATCAAAAAGCCTCTCTCATTAGGACATTACCAAAGAACCTAGTCTCCTCCTCCTTCTGTTTCTTCGTCTTCCTCAATTGCTCTGTGAGTTCCGGCTTGCCGACTGCACACACATATGCGCTGTTTATTACAATTTTTATTATTTTTCTCATTATTTATTTATTTTTGCACTTTTATCTATGGTTAAGAATGCCATTAATTTGATGAATATTGTTTTGTGTGGCTGATCTGACAGGCCAAGTTGTAGTAATGGGGAAAGCAAAGATTGAGATTAAGAGGATAGAGGATTCAGCAAACAGGCAAGTCACTTTCTCAAAGAGACGAAGTGGGTTGCTTAAGAAAGCAAGAGAGCTCGCGATCCTCTGCGACGCACAGGTTGGGGTGCTTGTGTTCTCTAGCACTGGCAGACTCTACGAATATGGAAGCTCCAGGTTCCTCTTATGCTCATCATCATCATCATCATATCACCAAGAGCATTAGTTGTTTTTTTGGGGGGGGGGGTATCATTAGAGGTTCCAAACCCTACGTTCCTCTTTGTTCCCACCTTCTTAGTAATAATAATAATACCATCATCATCACCACCACCATAAAGAGTACTAGAGGGAGGTATATTAGAGGCCTCAAATCCTAGGTTGCAATTGTTCCCACCTTAGTACTACTAAGAATATCTGTGCTTTTGTCTCCTTTTGATCTAAGTAATTGATCTGCCTTTAGATCTGCTTCTTTTCTTTTTTTTTTGTTTTTTTTCCCCTTTTTGAATCATCCCAACATAAAATGTGATGATATCCGGTCAGATATACAGTGTGGTTCTTGGTACTATAGAAGAAATATACTTTATCCATTTTCTTATATCTTCCTGCTTGCGTACACACACACACTACCTCCTATTCTAATTATAAGACTTCATTTGTAGATTACAAACAAGGTCTTATAATTAGGACCGGAGATAGTATAAGAGTATCTACAAGCTTTTAAATGATGCTCTAGATTTGTCTGTTTAACTATTCTTTTTCTCCTCTTAATTATATGGTTGCCTATAGGTTTGATAGAATAATATCAGAAACTCCTCGTTCTGCTGGTTGATCTTTCATTAATTCTTGTTTGTCGCCTTTTCTCTCACTTGTGTTCTTTTTACAGGTCATTAATAAAACCTAGCTTCGGTTATAAATAAAACTTTAAAAAGCTGTGCATGAGATAGTATATATGTAACATATGATAAATAAAAGATTTCAAACTACAATCTTCTGATTGAACATGGCCTGGGTTAGCGGTACTTAGAGATAATTGAAGCTAAATTTACAAATGGATAAAAACAATGCAGTATTTGGTAGTTTCTTCCAATCAATCAGAGCATCAAAGTTTTGAATGAACCTTTAATAACTAATTCTTATTCAATACTGCCTCCAGGCTTAAAGATAAAATCTAGTTTGTAATCCACGTCAAACACAAATGGAACAATTCCATATGAACATCTATCTAAGCTATGGACAGCTCATATCTCATGCTCAAAAGGTTGCCCTAAAAATTTGCCGAGATGATAAAATAAACCACCAACTAGCTAAAGAATAAGCCCAAAATAGGAAAGATTTAGGATCTTTCTGTGAACAATTTGGATTTCTACGCTACGAAAAGCATAAGCCCAAACTTGAAATACATAAAAAGAGTCATCATCTTAGCCAACAGAAAAATCTCTTCTTGGCATTACAAGTACAAGTGCGAATTACACCACAAACTAGATCTTTTATTTAGAGCTAGATATCATAAGAAATTATAACGACAATCTTTACAAATATGCCCTAATTACCTTTGGGCTAACTAATTTGTATTTAATTAACTTTGAGTTTAGTCTTGCCAGATGATGGTGATACATCTAAAAATGCTCTAGATATTTTGTAGCACGAGATACACTTTGGACTATAGAAAGTGATAGAATGTGACTTGTAATAGGAATAGGGTTAGTATTATTTATACTATGAACAATATCTTATGCGGATATATGTGTTGTGCACAATAATACTTATCCCAATAGGGGTCTATTTGTTTCAGCTCATTTAGTGAAAAGAACAACTTATTTTTCTCAACCAAAAAAAAAAAACTTTTTAAGAAATTTTAGAATGTTTGTTTAAATGTTTAAATGTTTGAGAAGCGCTTCCTATGCGTAACATCCAACTTTTAGAAAAAGTTTTAAAATTTTTGGTCTTTTCAGGGTACACTAAATAATGGGCCACAAGTGATTCTTAAATGGCCGAATAGCTCTGATAAGTGACCTTAGAGTAAAACGTTGTATTATACAAGTGTATGGGCACAATAATCTCGTTGTTTGATTTAACACAGTCTTCTAATATTATTGAATGAATTATGATGCATACATATACGTATGTATATACATATCTGAATGAATATTAATTCATGTTGTTTTTTGTTATTTTGGGTCAAAAAGTATGTTTAAGGCTTGTTAGGCTAAGTGGATCTAAATGTGTAGGAAGGAAATAAAGTTTTTTCATAGAGTCAAATCACTTAAAATGTTATCTGAAACATATATTCAGGGTACAATAAAGGATTGCATTACAGATATTTACATAAACTTGATATCCATGTGCTTGATTTATGGCAGCGTGGAGTCAATTATTGACCGCTATAATAAACAGAAAGATCATGAACACAATCCGCTTGTGAATCGAGCTTCAGAAGCCAAGGTATACTAAGTGTTTTTGAGGTCAAATTTCTGCATAAAAGTCATGTGTAGTTACTAGAAATTCATAAATCATATATAATTCTCATTGTTAGTTTATATATATTTGCAATTGTCAGCACATTTTATATTTAACTCCAAGGATGATTACACAACAGAAAGAGAGAAATAAAAGGGAGGGGAGGATTTAGAAGCAAGAGAAAAACTATAGAAAAATGGAAACATTAATTCTAGCATAGAGGGAAAAAAATATGAGACTTAGAAACTATAAGGGAAGCACCAAGTCAAATACATGATCTAATGATATTACCATAGAAACTGAAGTGGTTTAGAGAGAAACAGAGGTCAAGGAAACATGAGAGAAGAGACAAAGAACTGCATTCTATATATTGAATTTTCAAGTTACACATCCATACTCATTGGCCACACTTGTAAACACACAAACGTCTCAACAAAGCAACTGACTAAACCAATATGTGTTCCCAACTGACTTAAACAACATATGATTGTTGTTAGAGATATGATGCATTTAATAGAGTAAACTGGAAAGTATAGTTTAAATTCTTTTAAGCAATACTGATGATCTAACTACCTTTTCTTAGTTTTGATTAGGAAGTTAGAAGTGATTTATACATAGAACCAGTCCTTTTTTATGTACTCTGTCTGGCCTTTTTTTATAAGAAACATTTTCTCACATAGGGTGGGTCTTATGTATAAGTAACAATTTGGGTTTGTCTAACAATTTAATGCAATTTTTTCATTTCTACATCCAGTTAATTGCATGTTTCTCTCATTTCTTTTTTCCACTCATTTTCTCTGATGAAGGTATTCTTGAACAAAAATTATACTCCTCTAATCCTATTTATAAGTAACTTTCAACATATGTTATACAGACCAAGAAAAATCTTAAATTTCATTAACTATCATTTAAAATTCAACAAATTTTTAACTTTATTCCTATTTAATGTACATTATACCTCATGTGAACAAAGTTAACAGAATAATAAATGAAGAGTAAAATTATACACTCATACAAAAAATTTCTCTTAGGGCCTATTTGGTTTGAGGGGAGGGGAGGGGAGGGGAGGGGAGGGGAGGGAGGGAGGGGGGGGGGGTAGGGGAGGGAGGGGAGGTTTCATCCTCACCTTGTTTGGTTTGATTAAAAAGGAGGGGAGGGGAGGGCATTTAATGATCCCTTGTTTGGTTCAAGGAGGGGAGGGGAGGGATAGTAATAATCAATTTACCATTTTACCCTTACATATTATTTATGTTTTTTATTGATATATTATATAAATTAATTTACATTTTAATTTAAATTATATAATTTAATAAAAATTCAGTCTTATCATGTTAATATGTGTATTAAAAAATTGGTATAGTAATTTTTTATTCTAATTAATATAATAATATATTTAAAATAATCCAATTAACAAATTTTATATGCTATAAGAAAAATAAAATTTTATTTTCTTTAGGCTATCTTTTTTCCAGTTTTAAAATATATTTAATAAATAATATATTTATAAAAAACAATTAATTTTATAATATTATAATTTTTTATTTAAATATTTTTTATTTTTAAATAATTTTTATAATATATTTTTAATTATAATAATGTATATATTTTTTATTTTTTTACTTAGGATAATATATTTTTATTTGAAATAAATATTATAATAATATATTTTATGGGTAGAAGTGGAATATTAAAAAAGCCATAAGGGCATAATGGTCCAAAATTTTGGCTCCCCTCCAAAAACCCCCAATTTGGAGGGGAGCCAAAATGGGGGGAGGGGAGGGGACATTTTAGCTCCCCTCCCCTCCAAAATTTTTAACCAAATGAGGGGAGGGGCTCATTTGCCCTCCCCTCCCCTCCCCTCCCCTCCCCTCCCCTCCCCTCCAACCAAACACACCCTTAATGCCTTGGAAATATTATCAAAAAATGTCTTCTCTCTTTACCCTTTAAATAGGATCAGAGGAGTATCCCTTACACATTTTTGGCTTCTAATCATGTCTAACTAGCATTTTTATTTGTGTGATTTGGGTGGTTGTTACTTATAAGAGGACCAAAGGGAGTAATACACAATCCGAAACACAAACCTCTGCGCCCTCTGTTATGACCTTTCATACAACCTCCTATTTTGTTCTTCTTTTGGTATCTATTACTCCCTCCATTTCTATTGATTAAAGGATAAAATTACCTAATTCTCAGACACAAGTTAAGCTAAATTAATTCATGTCTTAAACTTCTATTTTTCTAGTTCTACACTGGTACAAGCCCTACGAAATCTTATCTTGTAGATAGAAATTGAGGGAGTGTCATAAGTTACATCCTACAAAGGTTTTTATGGTCCTTTAATATACTCCTTTTTAAATCTTAAATATATGTCATGTCTAACTAATTTGCATGTATTAAGAAAAGTAATCGAACAGTCGTTAAAGAATCAAAGTTGTCATAAAACTACCCCTATTAGTTCCACTAAATCCCCCTATCACATACTCCATCCATCTCCAAATATAATAAACGAATTACTACTTTTCTCATACCTTCTTCCATTGCATCACTCCTTATTGAATGTAACAGTTATTTCTGTTGCTGCACTTGTTAGTTTTGGCAGAGAGAAGCAACGATCTTGAGGCAAGAACTTCAACAGTTGCAGGAATTGCACAGGTACAAAATGTTGAACTCGCTCAACTATCATACAATCTCTTCAAAATTAAATGCAATATGTTCCGATTTTCCCCCCTTATAATGTATTCTGAAAATAAATGGAACAATTTAGTAAACCAGAAGGAACTTACTTCCTTTTCGACATGTAGGCGAGTCACGGGAGAAGAACTTTACGGTTTGGGAATTAACGAATTGAAAACTTTGGAAAATCAACTAGAGATGAGGTTAAAAAATGTCCAGATCAAGAAGGTATGATAGATAATTTCGATTCATATCTGCGTTCAATTTAGCATGTAGCAAATATATATGATAATAACCTGAACTTGATCATTAATTTGTCTGTAGGAGCAAATTTTAACCGATGAGATTAAAGAGTTACAACACAATGTATTCAAGAATTCTGGTTCTGATCTTGCCACCATGTAAGAAAGGACTCCCCACAATTTCTGAATAACTTATTTATTCTATTTCAGGGACATGAAATTCGCCACCAAAATGTTCAACTCCACAAAACAATAGAAGCCATTAGTAAAGAAAATGCAGAATTACAGACAAAGGTGAGTTGATAAAACACATTTATCGAATTAAATCATGTAATAAAATGTACTAGAGATCAAGAAGGTTGCCTTCAATTCCACAACAACAAAGGAGGCAAGAGGAAGACATCATCTATATAGTGAGCCTGTATTACTTATTTAAAAGCTAAATGTTTCAAGTTTTCTTTCAAAGTTTTCACAGACTTCGTCCCCGCCCCTTTCCTTAGGTTTCTGAAGCAAGGGTTGTGAATGAGGAATATGGGAATCCTAATCCCACATGCACTATCCATCTTCAGCTAAGCCAGCCACAATCTGAATCTGATGAATCACCAGCCAAAGCAATGGAGCTGGGGTATATCACATTCCTTAAATTGTATGTGTATATATTACGCATTCTTTAGAATTACAACAACTTAAGCACTTAATTTTTATGACAGATTAAGGCTGCTTTAGCACAAACTCTGACAATCTAGGATTCTCAACGCCATGCTGCCACCAACTTTCCCATAAGAGATGTTTCATCATTGTTAAGGAGATCAAACATAATATATTAAGGATATGTCTCTGTAAATTTTAGACAATGACACTATCAAATGTGACCAGTGTTGAATTATTTAGTTTTCAGATTTGTTGTGATCAAATTAATAGATTTGATCTGTTTATTACCCTTTGATGAAATAGCCATCATCATAAACCTCCCGCCTTCAATCATATTGTTGCTGATATTTTCTTCATGAAGATTGAAGACATTAACAATTATGGCAATCTAGGGGAAAATAAACTTTTACATTAACATATCGGGCGCGAAGTATACAACTTCTATGCCAAAAAAAAAAAAAAAACAGAGCACTTATATTAATACAAAGTTGAACTTGGTGCAAAAGATTAATATTAAGGTAAATAAAATAATCTCTCAAAAGTGTTTCTTCACTCTCATTCCCTTGCAATAATCATTTAATCATACATGTTTTTTTTTTAATAACCTTTTCTCCTTCATTTGCTTTTTCTACTGTAGGTCACTCTTTCCTATAACATTCCCTTTGTATTAAGATTCGTGTGTGTGTGTGTGTTTATATTCTTGTCACCAAAAAGCATATATAAATATATATATATATATATATATTCTCCATAGGTGAAGTGAGAGATATTGTGAATAGCTATCAAAATTAATCCCTCACCAGACTGGCAAATTCGCTTTATAAAATTCGCTGTAAAAGAATTTGAAAAGTTAAAGTTCCATGCCTAATATTTTACTCTGTAAAGTTTTTAAAGAACTTAGTGAGAGCGTTTCACAAAGAATGGGGCGGTGAATTTGAAATGTACTCTATCTTTTTCTCTCATTTTCCATTTTCTCTATATTCTCTCTTGGTACTTTGTAATAAAGAGGGTAATTAGATCATATGTAATATCCCAAATTTTATGGATTTAATTAAAGCATGATTGAGAGAAATTTTTGAGATTAAAATCCTCAAAAGACAGTCTGAATAATTATAAAGCTAGTTTTAGGAATTTAGGACCTATTTTCTTGAAAAATTCAAGAAAGATGGTGAGAGGATTATTTTTGAGCTAAAAATTTTAGGATTATTATTTTATGGACTAAAGAAGCTAATGGAAGAAGAAAATTCATATAAAATATCCAGGTTTGATTTCTGGAATTATTTGCTTATCCTAGAAAAATAGAGAAGGATCAAATTGAAGACAAATAAAGACCAAAGGGCATAATGGTCATTTCACATCCTTCACCTATTTAATCTGTCCTAACACCTTCTCCCTTCTCATTTTTTCCTCTGTGGTTCAAAGTGAAAACAGAGAGAGCTGAGAGAGTTCGAGAGAGATCAAGAAGCGGAAAGGTAGTCGGAGGAGGAAATCGGGTCATACAAAGGTGGAAATCAAGCAAGGTGAGTCTCCTGAATCTTCTTCCATCTTTGTTTTCTATTATTTGGGCATGTATTGCAGGATGATGATGAAGTAAAATCTGGTTTTTGAGAGAGAAAGTGAAGAGCATGAGTGCCAAACTATAGAAATCGTGTTTAATGGTTAGAATGGAGATTGTGGTTGGGATTTCTGTCCTTGCTTTTATGGTTGACTGCTCTGGTTTATGGTTACCGAAACAAGAGTTTAACAATTTAAGGAAATGGCTTCTGTTTTGGGTAATAGATGATTAACGAGGTCTAAATATAAATAATTATTTTCTGGTTGCATGCTTATAATATGTTGATTTTATAAGCTCCATGTGGTTATTAAGGGATTGGAGAGTGTGTGCTTTGAATAAGGAAAATTCCAGAATTGATGATGGAAGGAAGCTGTTCGATTTTTGTTGGTCAAGAAGCACTCGAACGCTAAATGCATAAGCTATATATATATATATATATATATATATATATATATATATATAAACAAGTTAGCCTGTTGAGACCGAAGCATTGGGGGAAAGAAGTTGACTTGCAATTGAGCTGTTCATGTTCTCTTTTAGTTTTGGTTCCATGTTCTGAATTAAAGTGAACAGATTTTCTTGGGTTTAGAAATGGAAAAGTGATGCCAAAATCTGGAATTTTCATAAGAGAAGAAATTGTTGAGATTGGGAACTAATTAAAGCATGATATGTATGTATATGTTTGATGCTTATTTCAGCAACGTTGATGTTAGAATGTGAGGGCTGAAACTAAATCACATGGTATTAATTATGTATATATGATTGATAAAGCAATTTGGAAGTTTTGAAGGAAAGATGTAGAGGCCAGAGGGTGAATATATATAACGAGGAGTCAAAAATAATATTTTAGTTGAAGGTTGATGCTGGAAAAATTTAGAAACAGTGGCAGAATGGGGCTGTTCGAATTATAGTAGGTGTTTGAGGTGTCTAAATGCAAAATGCTTAAATGGGAAGTTTATAGACTTATACAAATGTTTATATTATAGATATGTATGTAAAGGGAAAAAAAAGTCTTAAGAGGATGGAAGTTAAATGTAATGCCCTTGTTAAAATGATCGTAAAGGATTTAAATTATAAGGAATGTGTTAATGTAACACTCTAGATGAATATTTAGATATGTGTGTGTATCTGTCCTTGCTTAAATAATTTATAGGATTTGATATTTGTTTGAGTCCATTAAGAAAGGAGCCAAGAAGGAAACAAGGGGAAGGGAGCATGGAAGAAAAAGCAAGAGGTAGTGTATTTTTTTTTTTCCTTTCATGTGATTGTGCATTGATTGCCACATGCTTAGATGTACTGTTATGCTAATTGTGCATGAAAACATGTAAGTGGCCTTTGCATGATATTATTTGTCATGACAATATGTGCTGGTTTCTATTTATTTTGGAATGTGGGCGCGATAGTTAGCAACTGGCTCTATGGGTGTATGGTGTATGTGCATCTTTGATTATATTTGGATGCAAGGTATTGTTCTCTTTGGCCTGTGTAGCATGTTGTTTGTAATCTTATATGATTACATAAAGGAAATTTGTTACTACTGAGATTCTTTATAATCTCACCTCTTCTTCCATGTAATACAGCAAGAGCAAGTACTTCTAAGGGCAAGAGATTAGTGATTGTTGAAGCTTGAATGTGAAGGAAGCTGAAGATCTTTGTATATATATTTTGCCTAAAATGCATCTTATTTTAGAGTGAAGATATAATATATATATTTTGATACATAAATGTTCCTCCATAAGGAGGTGGCTAAGGGCAGATAAATTATAATAGTTTTTATTGAAGGAAATGGCCAATATTTTGATATATAGTTATTATTATGTCTAGAATTGTGTGTGTCTGTATATGTACCCTATTGTATGAGCCAATGGCCAGGGTATTGAATGTTAAACTCTACTGGCTATAGTTGACTCAATACAGAATTCAAATGGTTGGATGGAAAAAGAATGGGTTTGGTGGTTGAATGCGAACCCTGAGTCTTAAACTGTTTTTGCCGTTTTTGTAAAAAGAGTTAAATGGAGTACTTGAACCACTAGACATATTATTTTGAAAGTGGGTTTTTGAAAAGTTTAAACTTTTTTAGAAAATCCCATTCCTTAAACCGGATCAAACCTTGTGTTTGGGAATGGTTAAAAAAAAAAAATTGTCTTTTCTCAGGATGAAACCTGACTTCTAGTGGTTCAAGATTAAATAGAATAACTCTACTAATATAAGGGATAGGTGTTACATCATGTGCCTGTGCTGTTAACATTTTCACTCATATAACTTATCAGTCTCACAATCACACAATAACAAAGGAGGGAAGATGGCGATACCATCTGTTGTGCATGTGCGACGACCTGACAAAGCCTAAAATATTTGATGCAGATAATTAGGCACTATTTAGGATTTAGTTTAGTTATTTTAATTATTTATTTATTTTGTAGTTAGTAGACAGTTACCTTAACCGCACTCCCCACTCCTCTTTCTTTGTTTTTTATTTTGGAAAATATAAAATAAAATGAAAAGTCAAACAAATAGGACATAATAAAATATTTATAGCAAAAGAGTGACCAGCAACAATTATAGAAACAAAAGTAGTAACCTCCAGTATGCCGAACGGTCACAATAATTAAAATAGAGGAACGGTTGGGCCTTAGTGACTTGACTTAAAGAGGCTGGAAAAGAAATATTGCCCCATTGGTGTTATGATGATTCTTCTTGGTTTTCCAAAGGTCTACGGTTGAAGAAACCGCACGAAAAAGAGTCATAATTGCACCCCAAAAAAAAAAAATCGTCTGGGACGTTCACAGTGATGGCAGTACGTGGACCCGTGCGCAGACGCTTTTAAAATATGCTTACTTAAAATATAGGCCTTTAAATAGACTTAAAATCTAAAGCTTACATTATATTTCATATAGGCATTGGAAAAGATTAAGCATGATTTATTTAAGTAAATTTGATTTGAATTTATATTGAAATAACAAAATTTGATTCATTATAATATCTCATAAAATCTCAATATAGTTACAAGTTTATAAAAATACAAATAAGAAAATGTGCACTGTACAGCTTGCAGGGGGGAGTTAGACAATGAGCTTCACGCCCTTAGAGATTGCAGTGAAGTACGTAAGCTCTGGGAAGATACCATCAAGCCACAATACTATACGGCTTTCTTCTCTAGTAACCCGCAGAATTGGAAGCAGGGACTGTCGACCTCATGGCCAAACAAGCATTGGAAATTGATGGTGCCTTTTCCCATCACACAGGAACTGTAACTTGCGGAGGTGTTCTAAAAAATCACAATGGTGAGCTGTTAGAGGGCTTTCAACTCAGACTTGAAGGGGGAGACGCCCTTCCTGCTGAATTGTGGGCGCCTAATGGGATTGAAGCGTGCTTGGGACAATGGAGTTAGAAGATTGGTTTTGAGAAATGACTCTGTTGAAGCTGTCAATCTTTTATGCGGTAACACACCGGACTCACATAACAACTGGAATGTAATAACTGAAGTACACCATATGATTGAGAGGGACTGGCAAGTTGA